AGAAGTCTGTCATCTTGTGACTGAAATTAATATTAATTAATTTTTTTTAGTGTCAGGAGCAACTTGAGAAACTTCATGTTGCTTCTGGTGTGAGAGAATTGGCTGTCTGCAAGAACGTTGCCCAGATGTTTTGATGTTTTACCATCCTTGTGGGAGGCTTCTCTCATGTCCCCGCATGGGGAACTGGAGCTGACAGAGGGAGCTCTTCCGCACTCTCCCTAGATTCGACCTCTGGCCTGTTGGTCTTCAGTCCTGCAGGCACAAGGGTTTAACCCATTGTGCCACCAGAGGCTCCTAATATTTAATAATACAATTTAGAAACTAAATAGCCTTCAGGTGCACATTCCTGTTACTGCACATGCCATTCTGCAGCTCTCTCAACTGCCTGGTCTTGGAACTATGACTCTGACAGACAGACACACGTCCTCTTACTATCATCATAGTAACATACGGAGAGTTATGTTTTAATCCTCCCCATCCAATAACGACAGTTCTCAGTAAAATCTTTCCGTGTACTGGTATCAGCTGGCACCAAAGGAAACCACTTTTCTAATATGGTTGGGGACTGTGTGTCTAGTTTTCATTAGGACTGCATCTGAGATGGAAAAAAATAAACATATCCTTTCATATAGATTAAACCCTTTTACCCCCATTGTAACAAACATATTACCATATGCTATCTATTTAATGCAGCATCTATCTGGATCTTCAGTTTATATTCTTCTGTCAATTTAAAGTGCTTCTCTTTCAGTCCCATCTTACTGTAGTCGCAGAAACCTCCTTCTCCCCAAATTTGCTTGCTGTTCCTTTCTGTACTAGCTTTGAATCATCATGTCCTCATAACTCAGTGCTTTCAATCCACCCTCCTCTGACTCACTTTCTCACTCCTTTCACTACCTACAGACTCATCTTCTGTTACTAATTTGGGATGCAAGCGTCCCACAGCCCGTTCTCACAACTGGTTCCTCATGACATATCCAGACATTGGCTTCATGTGCCAACATACTCTTCTCATAAAGAAAAATGATTTGTCCTCACACAAACTTTTCCTGACGAAGCCTGGTATATGACAAATATGTCAAGCTACATTTAACAGATTTGTTCTGATGTTCCTCACAACTCACGGCATATTAACCATGAGCATTTTCCCCTCCTGTGGCAAAGAACAGCACAAGCAGCATTTTTTGTTCCACTGATGGACCCATGAAGCATTTCTGCAGAGTCTACTGTAGACACTGCACACTGTTGCTAAAAGATTTGTGTAAATCAATGGTTCCCAACCTTTGGTCCTCCAGGTGTTTTGGACTTCAGCTCCCACAATTCCTAACAGCTGGTTAGATGGCTGGAATTTCTGGGAGTTGAAGTCCAAAACACATGGAGAAGCCCAGGTTGGGAACTATTTTGTACCCCAGCCTATCCCCCCTAGGGTGTAAATGTCTAGGTGGAACTCAAAAACCTTTGCCAATTTTTTCACAACCTCAACATTGAGCTATGAGGACCCCATTTGGGGGAGGGGACCCACAGTCTAAGAAGAAATAGTGCATAGCTCCAATGATTGCAATGATAATGATGGTGATGGTGACAATGATGACAACAACATACACATTACAGCACATAGCAATTCTTCAGCAAACAAACAACTGCTACTTATAGTACCTTATAATACCTCTTTGGCCACCTGACTTTTCACGTTCTTTCTCTGCTGGTCAGCCCCACTTCAAGCTCTCATGTTTTATTATGAACTTAAACATGCATTTACAGCAAGGCTATGGTGTGCAAAAAATAACATTGCATTTTTAAAAATCATGGAGCCCACCTTATATTTACTGTATTTTCATGACATATCCTCCCTTCGCCCCCTCGGCTGGCACTGAAGACAGGACACACTAGTATAATTAAATTGGCATTAAGTAAATATTATGAAAGGGGAAGATATACTTCCCCAAGCTCTTAATCCATTTGACAATTTTGTATATATCTCACATATGAGATAGAAGATAATTAATGCACACACAGTCAAAGTCCCTGGAATTGGCTTGTATACAAATAACCAACATTATTATTATTATTATTATTATTATTATTATTATTATTATTATTATTATTATTATTTGACAGGAGTAAACTTAGCTATCAAGATTTCTGGACTCGGGCAAATCATGATGCTCAGCTATCCCCACTTACTATTGCAAGTGTCTACTTTAGACTTTTCTGTAACAAAGACAAAGCAGACCCACAGATAGGTTTGTACCATACATATGTTCAGAAATATTATGCCAAATATCAAAACTGATTTCTTTTTCAAAAACAAAAAGATAAAACCAAGAATGTAAATAAAGCGCAAACACATTACCTCCTGGACATCTTCTGGGTTTTTCCGTGAAACAATCTGAAAAACAAACGCAGATACCTTGTCAGTGGTTGAACTTTTACAAATATAAAGGAAAGGATCCAACGATAAATGCAGATCAAGGGTGAGTCAATTGCATTCCTAGGGCCCCATGGAGCTTCTGACTTACTGTATTTTACTCAGCCAGTGGCCAAATCACAAAAACTCACTCTTAACAATTGGCTCCTTTTCAGACTACAATTCCCAGACTCCTATAGCCATAATGGCTAGTAGAAATTATTCCAAAAATTATAATCCCAAAAAGGGATTTTTTTTTTAATTTTTCAAATTTACAAATCAGATTTCTCATGGAGAAAACATGTGAGTTGTTCTTTCTAAAACGACTTAAAGGGCAATGAATGGGTTGGGATGCAAATCATCACAAATGTCCTATATCAGGATACCAGCCAATACAGGGTGAGTGTGATTTCTTTTGTTTCTGTAGAGAGAGCCAAAGATTGAATAACACACATTGCAGGAACCATAATTAGTGGTTCTGTGTGAGAGTCCTCAGAGATACTGCACACATACATCTATTCAAGAAACAGATGACGCATTTGAGATGATCTTTTCATTAATATCCAGTTTTGCGTAGTTTTCGGGCCACATAAATCCTCTGAAGTAACTCTGTTCCCCCAGAAATTCCAAAACCAGGAGCAATTCCAAATACCTTCCTTTCCTGACACCATTTTGAAAAGGTTTATAGAGAAAAATTGAAGTTGTTTTGGCTAGTTGTAGGAGATAACAATCATGGGGGGAAATCAAGGGGGTCCTGTCCTCCCATAGCTGCTTACCCCTGCTCTAGACAAAACATGATAAGATGAAATATTTCTTCAGCAATAGAAATAATGTTAGTTAAGCAGGTTTGTGTGGTTTCAGCCAAGTAGTCACTATTATAAAGATTATATCAAATCTTTAAAGACTATTTTCAGGAGGGGTGCGTATATAATATATATATTCTAGATTAACTGTTCCCAACTTGTGGTCCGTGGACCCCAGTGGTCCCCAACAACTAAGATATAGTCCGCGGCCTCACTGTTACTACACTGTTGCAATGAGAGCGATTGGTCTTTAAAAACCCTCTTATAGTGCCGAGGCAATGGGGATGTCAGGAGGGGAGAGGCTGACTACCCCAAAAGGTGCAACAACAAGCCTCCTGGCTGCTGCTTCTCCTTCTCCCCCCGCCCTTAGCGGAGTCGTTCCATGTGATGCCTGGAAGCAGGGGACACCTTGGTGTCTTCATTTTTAAGCCTGTTCCTGGAGTTATTTGGGGTGCTGATTCAGAAAATTGCATTGGATAGACCACATCAGCTCTAGATTCTTAGATAGGATTATCATGGTTTTTTGTGGGTGAGCAGATGGCAACTACTGGATGGCATACGTTCTGTATCAGAAACTAGAGCTGATGTGGTCTATCCAATGCAATTTTCTGAATCAGCACCACAAATAACCAAACCACATCTAAAGTCGACCAAAAACTGATTCGAAAACCTTTTGGTACTAATGTTAGAGAGTCGTCCCTGATCAAATGGTCCCTGGTCAAAACAAGGTTGGGAACCACTGTTCTAGACGGACCCACTTGTTCTATATGGCCCAGAGCTAAGAACGGTGAGCTGAGAGAGCCTCTCAAGCCAAATCCTGGAGCAGGGACTCATACCGAAAAAATATTAATTATCATCACTGATAAAATCATTGGACATCAAACACGAACATCTCCAGGCAACAAACTCCATTTTTCTCACTATGACATCCTGCAGTTGGCATACAAAACATTGTGGAAGTGCACTGGCACACTGGACAGTTCCTCCTTGTTGATCAACATTCAGTTATGATTTCTCATATCTCAGATCAAGTATTCTGTAATGTTTTTCTTAGGCAGCTATTTGTTTGCAACATCCCTGTCTCTTGTTATTCAAATGAAAGTCTCTTGGGAAAACTATATTTACAAAGTAGTTTTATAAGGTCTTTCACTTTGTTTGCTAAAGAACACTGATGTCTCATCAAACTACACCTCCCAGGATTCCACAACACTGAGTCATGGAAATTCAAGGGGTGTCAAGCTGTGTTAATTCTACAGCATTATTTTAAGAAGGGTTCCCTGTCCATCCTGACCTTGTGCTCCAAGCCTGAAGTGCATCAGCCTGGCTATGCAAGAGCAACATAAAAAGTGTGCAGGTGGAGAAAAGGAATCTCAAATTTCCTGCTCTTGTTTTTTTAACCTACATGTAAAACCGGTGGATATAAATTGTAATCTCTTAGATCTGTCTACAGATTTTTATGTATTGACTTAAGAACCTATCTCTGATTTGTGGAACCATTCCAGCTTTCATTGTTTATTGCTCGCATGCCTTGCAAAATCTATACATGTAGCCGTCTGCCCTGAACACCTTACTTCTTTTAAATCTCTTCTTCTCCGCCCCACCTGCCACACAACCTCAGGTTTATGATTAAGTAAGAGGACTGTCCTGGAAATGCATGAGTCTGGTTTTCTTATCTTCTGCCCTGCTGTGCAAGTTGTTTCTTATCTTTTGAGAGAAAGGCACTCTGCTTCATTCTTCCCACACTGAATCGCCTCCAGTTTGGTGAGCAGAAGTAAATAAATCGGAGCTGCTGAGTTTATATACCTTCAAGACTTTTGCAATTCATGGTACCACTAAGGTGAACCTATCACAAGGTTTTGTTGGCAAGATTTCGGAGACTGAGAAAGTGTGGCTTCCCAAGGTTCACCCAGTACATTTCCAGGGCTGAGTAGAGATTCAAACCCTGGTCTTCAAAGTCATAGTCAAACCACGACAATCTACTGGCCCTAACTATGCTGTTAACTGCATCCCGCCAACTTCAATTTATGGTGACCCTATGAATACAAAACCAAAGTATCCATAGATCCCTCTTCTTTCCTGTTTTCTCATTATGTGGCCAAAGTACTTCATCTTTGCCTCTAACATCCTTCCCTCCAGTGAGCAGTCGGGTTTTATTTCCTGGACTATGGACTGTTTGGATCTCCTCGCAGTCCAAGGCATTCTCTGAAATTTCCTCCAACACTACAGTTCAAAAGCATCTATCTTCCTTTTCTCAGCCTTCCAGCTCCCACATCCAAAGGTTACTACGAGGAATACCATTGCTTTAACTATGCGAATCTTTGTCGCCAGTGTGATCTCTCTACTCTTCACTACATTATTGAAATTGGTCACAGCTCTCCTCCCAAGAAGTAAACGTCTTCTGATTTCCTGACTGCAGTCTGCGTCTGCAGTAACCTTTGCACCTAGAAATACAAAGTCTGTCACTGCCTCCACGTTTTCTCCATCTATTTGACAGTTACCAATCAGTCCGGTTGCCAGAATCTTGGGTTTTTTTATGTTCAACTGCAACCCATCTTTTGCACTTTCTTCTTTCACCTTGATTAGAAGGCTCCTCAGCTCCTCGCTTTTGGCCATCAAAGTGGTATCATCTGCATATCGAAGGTTGTTAATGTTTCTTCTAGTAATTTTAACCCCACCCTTGCATTCGTCAAGCCCTGTACATCGCAGACCCTCATCCCCACATCTGCGGGACTGGGAGGATGCTAATAATAATAATAATAATAATAATAATAATAATAATAACTTTTGAATCCGGACTGACAAAGTTTTGGAACACAATACGCCAGACATCACGATTGTGGAAAAGAAAAAAGTTTGGATTATTGATGTCGCCATACCAGGTGACAGTTCCATTGAGGAAAAACAACAGGAAAAGCTCAGCCGTTATCAGGACCTCAAAATCGAACTGAAAAGGCTCTGGCATAAACCAGTACAGGTGGTCCCAGTGGTCATTGGCACACTGGCTGCCATGTCAAAAGGTCTCAGCCAGCATTTGGAAACAATAAACATCGACAAAATCACGATCTGTCAACTCAAAAGGCCAACTGACTTGGATCTGCGTGCATCATTCGAAAATACATCACATAGTCCTAGATGCTTGCGAAGCGTTCGACTTGTGATTTTGTGATACGAAATCCAGCACATGGATCTTGTTTGCTGTGAGAGATGGTGGTTTTGTGTCAGTAAAATAATAATAATAATAATAATAATAATAATAAAGTTTTCCCCTTGGAATAAGTCTAGTCTGGGGAGTGGTATTCATCTCCATTTCTATTTATTTATTTATTTATTTATTATTTACTTTATTTGTATACCGCTGTTCTCAGCCCTTAGGCGACTCACAGCGGTTTCTAAGCCGAAGAGCTGGCGTTGTCCGTAGACACCTCAAAGGTCATGTGGCCTGTGTGACTGCATGGAGTGCTGTTAAGAATTGTGGGAGTTGAAGTCCAAAACACCTGGAGGGCCCAAGTTTGAGCTTTCGCACAATTAAAACTTGTGCAGCAGCTGTGCCCTTACCTTGGGAAGTCAGACTTGGCTACGGTGGTCCAAGCTCTCGTTACATCCAGGATAGACTACTGCAATGCACTCTATGTGGGGTTGCCTTTGAAGACTGCTTGGAAGCTTCAAATAGTCCAACGAGAGGCAGCCAGGTTAATAACTGGGGCGGCATACAGGGAGCATACAACTCCCATGTTATGCCAGCTCCACTGGCTGCCAGTTTGCTACTGGGGCACAATTCAAAGTGCTGGCTTTGGCCTATAAAGCCCTAAATGGTCCCAGGCAGCCCAATTTACCTTTCGAAACACATCTCCTCCTATGAACCATCGCGGAGGCCCTGCTCTCCGTCCCACCATTGTCACAGGCATGATTGGTGAGGACGAGAGACAGGGCCTTCTGGGTGATTGCCCCCCAGCTATGGAACTCCCTTCCTGGTGAGCCCCCTCCCTCTTGTCCTTCAGAAGGATGGTAAAAACTTGGTTGTGGGACCAAGTGTTCGGGACAGGGCACTAGCCGTAGGCTGTTAGGAATTATGGGAGTTGGAGTCCAAAACACCCGGAGGGCCGAAGTTGGCCCATGCCTTATCTACACTATAGAATTAATGTGGTTTAGTACCACTTGAACTACCTACGGAATCTTGGGGTATGAAGTCTAGTGATGCAAAGCTCCAGCTCCCAGGATGCCATCACATTGAGCCATGACAGTTAAAGCGGTGCCAAACTGCATTCATTCTACGGTGTAGAAGGGGAACCCTTTCCTCCTGGAGAGCCCTCTCCCTCCCAGACCCCAAAGCAGCAGTACTTACCCGGGCGGTGACCTTATAGAGGGTATAGCCTCGCGGGTGGCGCTTGGGCTCCGTGACCGTGTAGAAGCGGGCCACTTCCCCGCCTCGGTCCCGCGGGGAGAGCATCCTGGGGGCGGAGGAAGGTCCCCTTAAGGCCCTGGCTGGCCCGATCCAAGCACGGGACAGTCTCCAGGCGGAGGCGGAAGGAGCACAGCCGCGGGAGGAGAGCTGCGGCCCCGCCAAGAGCCTCCCCGGCGACGCTGGATGGCGGACGGGAGAGCCTCCGCGGAGCGCTTCCGCTCCGCATCCCGACAGGTCCCGCCTCCGAGGTCGAAGGGGAGCCGGAAGATGATACTGCTGCTGCTACTGCGTGGCGCCTTGTCCTCTTTGGATTCCCCCAGACCAATCCATGCAACTCTAGAGCTGGATGACACCACAAGTGCCAGGCTCATTCTACCATGCAGAGAAATAGAGGTGTCTTTTTTCTCATCAGAAGTGCTTTAATTCTAGGATGGAATTATTCCATCTTGGTCCTAAATCCTGCAACCAAGAAATGAGAAGGAAGCTAAGGTTTAATCTACAACACTGTAGAATGAATGTAGTTTGATATCACTTTCAGTGCTATGGCTCAAGGCGGTAGAATCCTGGGAATTGTAGTTTCACAATGCCTTGGGCCCTCCAGGTGTTTTGGACTTCAACTCCCACCATTCATTCACAACTCTGTTTGTTTTTACGAGCTCCCTGCAAATCACCTGCTCCTATTTTTATCTCATTAGAATCTTTTAATTGTTTTATCCTGTTATTTATTTATCGTGTCATCAGCAACCATACCATTGTATTACAATTCTAACAGAGCAAAACAAACACACAGATTAAAAAGAAAAAGAGGAAAAAAAACACAGATTTTGCAAATTTGGTAGTTGGTTAAATGTCCTTTGACCAGTATCTGGCCACTTGGAGTGCCTCTGGGTGTTGCCGCAAGAAGGTCCTCCATTGTGCATGTGGCAGGGCTCAGGGTGCATTGCAGCAGGTGGTCGTGGTTTGTTCTTCTCCGCACTCGCATGCCGAGGATTCCACCCTGTAGCCCCATTTCTTAAGATTGGCTCTGCATCTCGTGGTGCCAGAGCGCAGTCTGTTCAGCGCCTTCCAAGTCGCCCAGTCTTCTGTGTGCCCAGGGGGGAGTCTCTCATCTGGTATCACCCATGATTGAGGTGCTGGGTTTGGGCCTGCCACTTTTGGACTCTCGCTTGGTGGGGTGTTCCAGCGAGTGTCTCTGTAGATCTAAGAAAAACTATGTCTTGATTTAAGTCGTTGACGTGCTGGCTGATACCCAAACAGGGGATGACCCCTATTGTGCAGTCTGGTACCTTTGTCCTTTGCAGAACTATAAGTCACCATCCCTTGTTAGGGGGGGGGGGGCATGCTCGACTTCACACAGACTGGGCCACAGCAACACATGGCAGGGGACGTTTTATCCTGTACATGTGGCCCGCCCACTGTTATCGTAACTGTGTTTATTGGAATGTTTTTTTTCCTATGTAATTTTGATGTTGTTTGTTGTTATTTTTTTGTTTTATTCTGCTGCAATATGTTGTTTGGGCTCGGCCCCATGTAAGCCGCTCCGAGTCCCCACTGGGGAGATGGTGGCGGGGCATAAAGTTTATTATTTATTATTATTAATGCCTTTGCCCCAGGCATGAGCCAACTTGGGCCTCCAGGTGTTTTGGACTCCCACCATTCAGGCTGGGGGTTAGAGTCCAAAACACCTGGAGGGCCCAAGTTGGCCCATGCCTTATCTACACTATAGAATATATTTATTTATTTTACTAGCTATCCCCTGCCACACGTTGCTGTGGCCCAGTCTGTGTATATGTGCTTTGTGTGTGTATATATTTGTGTATATATGTATGTTTGTGTATATATATGTCGGTGTAAATATGTGTGTGTCCCTCGATGGACTGTCACCTTGTCGTGGTGAAGGGGCTTGCGTGTTCCAATGAACCTGCAGGCACAACGACTGGAGTCATGCACTCCCAAGGAGTGGCCTCAAGGGAGGTTCCAGATCAAGCATGCTCCGAAGACCCAAAGACCTCAACAGCAGGCAGAGGATAACATGGTACGTTACAACTGCTGTGAAGGCAGAAGGCTGAGCCTGCAACAGATTGGTAAACTATACCACCCAAGGAACCTCAATCTGTGAAGACTGTGTATTGATCAGTGTGTATCGACCTCCACACATTAAAAAAAATCACACACAGGTGTCTTCCAGGGGGAGGGAGGGAGACAAAACAAAACAACCAAAGTCCCATGGCAATCAGCGAGTGGCGACGGGGGCAGGATTGTGAAATCTGGAAGCTCCTAGTCACAGACTGGCACATGGGCAGTTGATATGGACTAAGTCGTTCCACCTCAAGGTCCGAGGCAGTTGAGTAGTTCGGCAGCTGTATCCATGACTGAGCAGCCCTTTTGAAGACCCACTCTGCTCACCCCACATGTTTAGGTGCCCTAAACATAGTCTGCCTCTCTTATCACCAACTGGACTGCCGCGTCCAGTGGGGTCACCACCCTGCGGCCAAAAAAGTTTAGTACCACTTGAATTGCCATGGCTCAATGCTATGGAATTTTGGGATATGTAGTCTAGTGATGCATGTTAGGAATGGTGGGAGTTGAAGTCCAAAACACCTGGAGGGTCCAAGTTTGCCCATGTCTGCTTTAGCGTTTATTATAACACTATAGGGATCCCTTGGTGGTGCAGCAAGTTAAACCACTGAGCTGCTAAACTTGCTGACCGAAAGGTCGGCAGTTCGAATCCGGGAACAGGGGGAGCTCCTGCTGTTAGCCCCAGCTTCTGTCAACCTAGCAGTTCAAAAATATGCAAATGAGAGATCAATAACGGGAAGATAACGGCGCTCCATGCAGTCATGCTGGCCACATAACCTTGGAGGCATCTAAGGACAATGCTGACACTTCGGCTCAGAAAAATCAGATGAGCACCACCCCCCAGATTCGGACACAGCTATACTTAATGTTAAGGGAAAACCTTTACCTATAGGGGGGAAAAAACAATTCTGTTCTTGGTTTAAAAGTGCTATTTCTTGTTTAAGTGTGGGGGACTTCCTTTGAAAGTAGTTATTATAATCCAAAAACTTTTCTTTTTTGTGGCTGCCACAAACTATGTTGAATTGGTTGTGACTCTTACAAGATATTCATTGAAAAACTGTAGCAAAATGTGAATTAACAGAATTAAACTGAATTAAGGTAAAGGTTTTCCCCTGACATGAAGTCCAGCCGTGTCCGACCTTGGGGTGTGATGCTCATCTCCATTTCTAAGCTGAAGAGCCGGCGTTGTCCATAGACACCTCCAAGCTCATATGGCCAGCATGACTGCATGGAGTGCCGTTACCTTCCCACAGGAGCGGTACCTATTGATCTATTCACATTTGCATGTTTTCAAACTGCTAGGTTGGCAGAAGCTGGGGCTGATAGCGGAAGCTCACGCCGCTCCCCGGATTTGAACCTGCAACCTTTCAGTCAACAAGCTCAGCAGCTCAGCGGTTTAACCCACTACGCCACCATTACTATGTCTAAAAAGTTTGTCACCAACATGGTATGTTTGAAAAGCTCTGCTCTAACAAATAGGGTCATACCTAATTTTTAATCCGTTTTGGTGCTTACAGGGTATCAGCTGGGTATTTTAACCACTCCTGTTTTATTGAAAGGCTTTATTTAACCAAGAAAAAATTATCGTACTAAGAACAAAGTAGCCTGCTACAGATATAAAGACCATAGCTATCTACTATAAACAATGAAGGGAGATTAAACATATCACTTCATATAAAAATAGGCATGGAAAAGCAAGGAGCTTTCTTTTGCCTCTGTTCAAACGTTGTGTGTACCTCTTCTTAAATCTGAAAAGCAAAATAGATGGTTACTATTTAATTTTTTAAACTTTTGTATTGCTCTTTTTGAACTGTGTAGTGTGGGTAGATGTAAACCACCTTGAATCCCCATGGGGAGAAAGGCAGGATATTAATAAATATCATTATCAATAACAATAATAATAATTTGATATTATTTGCACAGTTTAAATTGCACTAACATATAGTAATATATATATTATGTGTTGTTTCCCTAATGGCAACTTGTGTTGTCCAATATGTACATCTCTACATGAGAACAGATTCTACGGATTTTGGATTGTGAGATCACATTAGAGTAACTATGGTTCCAAGGTTTGACACATTGCAGACAGTATTGCCATGGCAACTTCAAAGTTTTCATTGGACATCCCAATTGAATTTCCAAAGGACCGATCCTATCTTAACTGCCCACCAGCAGTGATTTACCTGAAAGTTCAAACTACATGTGGAGCTGCAACATGGCGATAAGGTTTGTTGTTTGTCAATTCATTCTGCATATAGAAAGACAAATGAAGACTGGAATTTTTCAACTTCAAGGTAAAGGTAAAGATTTCCCCTTGACATTAAGTTTAGTCATATCCGTCTCTGCGGGGTGGTGCCCATCTCCATTTCGAAGCCAAAGAGCTGGTGTTGTCTGTAGATGCCTCCTAGGTCATGTCGCCGGCATGACTACATGGAGCACAGTTACCTTCCTGCCTATTGATCTACTCACATTTGCATATTTTCCAACTGCTAAGTTGGCAGAAGCTGGGGCTAACAGCAGGAGCTCACTCTGTTTCCTGGATTTGAACCGCTGACCTTTTGGTCAGCAAGTTCAGCAGCTCAGCAATTTAACCCACTGCACCACCTTAAGCGACACCAAAATCCCTGGATGTTCATGTCCCATTATATACAATAGTGTAAGAAAATATGGTCCCTTATTATGGTCCCATAAAATGGCAAAATCATGATTTACTTTTCAGATTATACACACACACACACACACACATATATATATATTCAAACCACAGATAGTGTAATCAATTGATACAGAATTCCTGAACATGGAAAGTTGATTGTTTTGTTTTATATGTTGATTTTAATTCTATTGTTCATTTTTTTGATGGCTTTTTCTGGAATCAGTCATGGGTCCCACTCTAGGAGAAATGAAATAAATAATAAACCATACAAAGAGTATGAAACATGTTTAAATATTTTTGTGCTCCATTGAAGTGCCCTGTAGTAGCACTCCAAGAACCATGCAGTTCAAATGTATTATGGTGCTTGGAGTCCCTTGCATGATGTAAACAGCTAAAAAAAGAAACATACAGTAAATCAAAGTAATGAACCTCTAGTAGCCATCACCTCTCCATTTAAGCATGAATCTAAATTCAAATCAAAACATGATATACATCATATATTATTTAAGCAGGCTTTTAATGTATAAACAGGAAGCTTTTGCTGGGGTATTTATGCTTTTACACTTTGTATGTCTTTTAAATGATATTATCATTTTATGTCCTGATTTAGTTTTAAAATTATATTGTTCAAGGGTGGTTTTTAAAAATAACACTTTCTAGAAGCCCCCTGGGCCACACTCTTGGAGAAAGGCAGCATACAAATGAATAATAATAATAATAATACAAAGAGAATGAAAAATATTTATTTAAAATATTTTTTCAACAGAGCAGCTCCCACAATTAAAATATCCTCAGGCAGCTGGGCTCCATTCCAAGAACCATGCAGTTCAAATATGACCTAGTTCTGGAGTCCACTGCATGATACATAAAGCAAAAAGGATGGGTTTTCTCTCTCTCTTAAGGGCCGAATGTCTAGTAATAGTCACCTCACTTGAAGGGCCCCATTCAGGGCTGAATCTGAATGGCACCAGTTGCATAAAAATTGTGTAATTGTATGTAAGCATCTTCCAGCTTCTCACCGGAGAGCTGTGTATGTAAAGACCTCCCAGCTTCCTACAACTTTCCAGTACAGGTCTTCCAGACCTCACTAGAGAAGTGTGTGTGTGTGTGTGTGTGTGTGTAAAGGTTATCCTGGCTTTCCAGTCTTTCAGTCCAAGTCCTCCCCTTCATCACTGAAGGGGTTGATGTATATGTAAGGGGATTTACAAATTCCTCATTAAAGAGGGGTGTGTGTGTGTGTGTGTGTGTGTGTGTGTGTGTAAAAGTATCCCATCTTTCTAGTCTAGGTCTTCTAGCCATTCACTTATGAAAGAGATCTGTGTGTATAGATATCCAGGCTTCTTACAGTCCTCTAGAACCCAGGTCTTCTAAATACATCACTGGAGAGGTGTGTAAAGGCTTCTCAGACTTTTCACTCCCAAACTGGAAGTGTGTGTGTAAAGACCTCGTTTTTCCACATTCTTCTACATTTCAGAATTCTCTGTGTGTAAAGGTGTCCAGATTTTCTTCAAGTGGGAGGGGGGGTATATGTGTGTAAAGGCTTCCTATCTTTTTGCAGCCTACTAGTCCAAGTCTTCCACTTCCACACTGCAGAGGAAAGGCATCCCATCTTCCTGCCACCATCCTGGACTTCCAGCACTTTAGTGGAGAGATCTGGATGTATATTTCTCTCTGTGTGTAGGTTTCCAGGCTTCCCTCAGACATCCAGTCCAGATCTTCCAAATTCCTTGATAGAGAGGTATGTGCGTCAAGGAGTCCCAGCTCCCCGACTTAATTATAATCAAGGTGGTAAATTGCAACATTCACACTTGCCTCAAGCAGACTAGAGTTCTTTCTCCCACCCTGGACATCATTCCACAAATATATAAACCTCCTTTGCTGAGTTTACAACCCACCTCACAACCTGTGAGGATGGCTGCCATAGATGTGGGCAAAATGTCAGGAGAGAATGCTTCTGGAACATGGCCAGACAGCTCAGAAAACTTACAGCAACCCAAAGTCAAAGCATTTCATTCCCAAACCAGAGAGGTGTGTATATGTGTCAAGACACTTTATCTTTTCACTTATTTCCATATTTGAGCCTTGCACTCTAAAAACAGAAAGCTGTGCATATGTGTAAAAGGCACTTCATGCTTCCACTGCTTTCCCCTTCCAAGTCTTTCGCTCCCAAACTGGAGAGCTTTGTATAAGTGTCAAGGCATCACATCCTTCTGCTGCTTTCCCCTTCCAAGTCTTTCACTCCCAAACTGGAGAGCAGTGTATAGGTGTCAAGGTATCACATCCTTCCACTCCTTTTCACATCCAAGTCATTCACTCCCAAACTGGAAAGTTGTGCATAGGTATCAAAGCATCACATCCTTCCACTGCTTTCCACTTTCAAGTCTTTCGCTCCCAAACTTGAGAGCTGTGCCTAGGCATCCTTCCTCTCCTTCCACATTGGTGCCATACTGGAGAAGGCCTTACTTCTTTGAGCATTCTCTGGAGAGAGGGCAAGGAGTCTTCCTTCTTCACTGGAGGTTCTGGCTGAGGTACTGGAGGAACATGCTTCCCAGGCGGGGCAGCTCTCCCTCCCCTTCCCCGGGGTGCATCTTGGCGTAGCTGAGGAACTGCCTGCGGAGGCGGCTGAGCTCGGCCAGGGTGAGGGGGCGCCGGAGCAGCCACCCTTGCGGCGCCATCCCGGGCAGGGGCACCACCTCCCCGGGCCGGGCGCCCTTCCGCTGGGCCTCCATGAGCGCGCCCACCACGTCCTGCGTGAGGCGGTCGAGGCGGTGGAGGAAGGCGGCGTCCTGGAGGGGCTCGGCGCGCGTGGAGCGGTTGGGCGCGGGCGGGCGGCGCTGGAAGAGGGCGGCGCGGATCTCGGGCAGCGGCAGCGCCTCCGAGGGCTCCGCGGGGGCCACGAAGAGCGGCCGGTCCCAGCGGTTTTGCCCGTCGGGCTCCTCCAAGGGCGGCCGGTCGGGGCGCGGGGCTCCCCCGGGGCAGAGCAGCACGCAATGCGGCGTCGCGGCCTGCTTGCTGAGGCAGAAGAGCTCGTAGCGGAAACTCTTCAGCTCGCAGCCGGCGTCCACCACCACCACGTCCCTCCGGCTCAGGAGGCGCTCCGCCTCGGCCCTCAGAGCCGAGCGGGCCTCGCCCTTGCCGCCCTCTCCCTCCGAGACGACGAAGACCCGGCGCTGCTCTGAGGCCTCGCCTTCCGAGACCAGCGCCGCGCGGAGCTCTTCGGCGCGGCGGGTCTTGCCGCTCCCCGGCAGGCCGCACAACACCACCAGCGGCATCCCTGCGCTTTCCCTCTCTCCTCGAGGAAATGTAGATGTCTTCCGCCCTCAGCCAAGATGGCGGCGGGTGCGTTTCCTGTGAAGCACCCTAAACAAACATGGCTTCCCGAACGCTACAGTACTGTTCAAACAATCCCAAGCGCCTTACCTCGAGGAAATGCCTTAAGTCGTCCGCCCTCAGCCAAGATGGCGGCGGATGCGTTTCCTGTGAAGCGCCCTTAACAAATATGGCTTCTTAGCTCTCCATAGACAGCCGTATTCATTTTCAAACAGTGCATTACCGCCTCAGTGCCTTCCCTCATTGAGTTGTCTCAGTTTTCGCCCTCAATCAAGATGGCGGCGGGTGCGCTTCCCGTGAAAACACCCTTAACAAATATGGCGTCTTGAACCCTCTCTGCGAGAAGATTTATTTATTTATTTTTTTATTTATTTATATCTCGCTTTAGCGGTTCACAATCAAAAACATTACAACTTCAAATATACAATAATAAAACAGTATATAATTATATATATATTATCAGTAGTAATTATAATTAATATATTACTTTTACTATATTACATTATTATTATATATTACTAGCCGTCCCCTGCCACGCGTTGCTGTGGCCCAGTCTGGTGATCTGGAAAATAAAGTAATGAGAAAGTGTTGGTTTCTAATATATGTAATTTCTTTATGCTTGTGTTGATGTAGAGATTGTCTGGTTGGCCTACTCTGGAGCATGGAACATTTATTATTTATTTTATTTTATTTTATTTTATTTACGGCATTTATATGCCACACTTCTCACCTAGAAGGGGACTCGGAGCGGCTTACAATATATAGAATTGTCCTTGTTTAGGGGTCCCTTTCAAATCTGTGTGTGTGTGTGAGTCATATATATATATATACCTATGGCTGGATGGCTCTTTGTCAGGGGGGCTTTGATTATGTTTTCTTGCCCTAGAGAAGGGAGTTGGACTGGATGGCCTTAAGAATTTTCTGTTGGTCACGGGGATTCTGTGTAGGAAGTTTGCCCCAATTCTGTCATTGGTGGATTTCAGAATTCTCTTTGATTGTAAGTGAACTATAAATCCCAGCAACTACAACTCCCAAATGACAAAATCGATTTTTTGAGTGATGGTCACTCATTGGGTTGTTAGGCATATTCTGTCCAAATTTGCTGTCAATTCATCCAGTGGTTTTTGAGTTATGTTAATCCCACAAACAAACATTACATTTTTATTTATACAGATTATATTGTATTTTATTTATATTGTATTATTAATATTTATATTGTATTATTAGTAGTATTATACTGTATTATATTATATTATTAATATTATATGTATATACAATACATTATATTATTAGCATAGCACAATATGGGTATTATATATTACTATATTGTACTATACCACTATACTGCAATATTACTACTAATATTACATATATAATATGCAATAATTATAGTGTACTATATTATTATACCACAATCTATATATTACACTACCAGTATTATATAATACTAGCTTGGGGACCCGGCGTTGCCCGGGTTATTAGAGAAAGTGGGTAATGGCGGTTCTGTATGCCAAGTTTGGTCTTTATTGGTCTTTGGATAACGGCTGCATTATTTTCAGGAAGTGAGTGAAGGTACTTGAAGTCCCATCATCCATGGGCCATCCTCCTACAAACAGCAGCAGGATATAGAGTGGGTCATGGGGGCTCTGTGTGCCAAGTTTGGTCTTTATCAGTCATTAGATGAGGGTGGCAGTGGTGTCAGTAAGGGAGTGAAGGTACTGCAAGTCCCATCATCCAA